TTCGACAGGCTAATGGTATGTTGAGCCAACTAAGTCATTTCTCGAATATGCCGAAACGGTCGGAGTTCAACCTCAAAAAATTCCTTGAGCCGACCTCTGTGCCAGTGCACCAATAGGGCTGCAGTTTACAATGATGCACTTCGGATCCATATGCTGGTCTCTTATCCGGATTTTCCCATTCCGAAGTTGGAGGGAGAATTTTTTCCGATGCAGTATCTTCATGCCTACCACGATATCAGAGAAAAGGCCTTGGATATGGCCAATCGTTTTGGTGAAATAGACTCCTCCAATGCTCACTTCGGCTTCATATGATACAGGAACTCCTACTGTCAGACCGTAGGCGGAATGGACGTTTGTAGCCATTGTTGCGGATTCCCAGTAAACTCAAAGCTCGCCACAGACTGGCCACTCGATCTCCCATAAACAACTCAGCCGCCTCAGATTTTATCAAGGCCTGGATACGAAAAGTGAGAAGTCACGTTGAGGATACTGTTCTCGTCTTGCATCGGCACAGCACCCTATCAGTTTTTCGCCTCTGAACATGGGCATTCGCGAGACCTGATCCTCCCCTCATGCTTCGAGAGTGAAACAGTCGCATTAGAACTCGACATAGTCCACGGAAATGTTTGGTCTGCTCGAAACGCCAGCATTCGGGACCCGGTTTGTCGACTGTCCTTTGATAGATTGGGGCAGTAGTCTTGAGAAGCAATTTTTGGCACGTGCTACCTGGGCAAAACACTTCAGCTTAGACTTCAACAATTCAAACTCACGGAAGGCTGTCGAAAAAGAGGCTACGTCGGTTAAGTTAGTTCGCCGGATCTGTTGTCGGTATTCTGGACGCTGATGTCGGTACAGACAGATGTGCTGGAGTTATCCCACCATGACAGCGTATCAAAGTCTACAATTTCGGGTCAATGAGATAGTTGACCAAAAACTGAAAACCCAAAATCGACAGCAAAAGCGGTCCAGGTTTTTCACAATACTCAGCTGCTCCGTAACTATAAAGCTTGCATGCCTCTTAACAAAAATGGCATAATCGGGAGCAGTGGGCCAGGAGCTACATTCAGGGAATCACAGATCTCCTCTAGATGTTTTTGAAATGCAGTCGGATCTCCTTTCTTATCGAAGATGAATTTAAAATCTTGCCCTCGATGTGGCGTTGTCGATGACAAACTTCCAGTCGACGATACAGGGGCGAACTCAGTGGCTATCTGAACGGACGTAGTGGCAGTAACGGACAGAGTACCGGCCTGAGTGAAGATTTCAGGAGGTGTTGGAAAAACAAACAGTGTTGTGCTCAGCTGGACTTATGAGAAACTCGCCCTTCACGAAAGAACTCCGCCAAGCGTTTCCGCATGATATTCGAGCGTAAACTTCGCAAGCTCTGAAGCCAGCTCTCCATTTTGTAGTAAGTACATCCATCTTACTCTAGTATTGGTTGGTTCGACGGTGAGCACATGCGGAGGATTCCCAGTCGTTCACGATGAAGTGCGATCAAACCTGGCAGTAAGGTACTAATCCTAGGAACCAGAAAAAATATTTTCCAAGGCCCACTCTGGGGCTGTTTCGCATAAGAAAAAAACTAGCGATTTGAAATAGGTTGAGATCGCTTATAAAACCTAATGAATGAGATGCTACATGCCGTTTTTGTCTCGAAATCTGAGCTAAGCGCTATTAACGGTAGACAGGAAACGCAATCAACTACGCTTAATGAACGAAGCGGGCATAAGACGATCTGTATGATTCACCTCAAAAACAATGCCTGTCCCCCACCAATTCAAGCTTTATTTTCAACACCGTATTAATATACGACTAACGGAGGACGCTTCGTATCCTACACTCACGAACCCGAAGTTTCAAAAGCGACGACGATAGCTAACAAGAGTACCGGTAAATGCGAAAAGGATAACCCGAATACCACAAAGGACTGGAAAGGCGAAGAGAAGCGCTTTGGACAGATGGTCTGAGTGGCGAATACCACAAAGTACCAGAAAACGTAAGAGGAGACGCTCGAAGGAAAGGAACCCCAAGTGGCAAATATCACAAAGGGCCGGAAATGTGGAGAGAAGTTTAGGACAGATGATAGAAGTGGCGAATACCATAAAAGGCCAGAAACGCGAAGAAAAGATTTGAACAGATGATCCAAGTGGCGAATACCACAAAAGGTCGAAAAACATAGAAGACGCGTAGAAGTAAGGTAGCTCCTCAAGTAGTGAATATCACAAAGAAATTGGAACGCGGAGAGCAGTTGATTTGATTTGATTTGATTTGATTTGAAATAAAAGATCCAAATAGCGAATGCTCAAACGACCGGAAAACGAAGGAGGAGACGCATAAAAAAGTAGTCTAAGCGGCAAATACTATAAAGGAGCGGAAACGCGGAGATAAGTAACGAATAAATGATCCAAATGGCGAATATAACAAAGAATCAGGAAACGTGAGTACCGCGTGACACAGAAATAGCCCAAGTGGCGAATACAACGAAGGGCTGGAAACGCGAAGAGCGGTTTCAAACAGACAATCTAAGTGGCGAATACCACAAATAATTGGAAAAAGTGAGAGAAGACGCCTGAAGAAAAGGTAATACAAGTGGCGAATACGACAAATAACCGAAAACGTGGAGAGAAGTTCGAAGAGATGATTCAAGTGGCGAATACCGCAAAGAATCGGTAAACGTGAGAACCGCTTGAACGGCAGACACATTCTCAACGTTTCACAATTTCGGTTGACGGCGGAGAGTCACTGACTATGAACTAACCTTTCATGATTCAGAACTCCCCTCTGCAGTTGGCTTGGTTACCCTCGCTTCCTCTGAAACGAGTCGACGGTTCTTGATGTGGCTCGGTTGACTTTGGTTCCTTCCTCTGCAGCTGCTTTGACGTAGTGGCTCGGGTAGGCAGTCTGACTGTCAATTTAAGCTGTCTCGCGGAGGCACAAGGAATCGTGCCCAATACACACATCTTTTTCCTTCAGCTGTGACGGGGTGGTGTTTGTCATTACTATACTATCGTGGGTGCTATGAAAAACGGTCAGGGTTGCTAGAAATTATCCAGGAGGTTTTCATCATATCATTCGCGGAACGGAACTAATGAGCATATCGCATTCCCTGCATTCTCCTGAATATTTTTCAGTAAAAACGATACATTTTTTAAATTGAAAAAGTGCATTTCTAGATCGAATTTAACAAAAACTTACTTGAAAAAGTTGTGTCTACGGCAATTTTATATCCATATGCCAAATTTCATGCAACTAGGATAAAGTTAACGTTTTGCTTATTTTTGACAGATATAACCTTTATTTTAAAAAATAAGTTCGGTTAATTGTCAT